AAGACCAGAGGCAATTGGAAAAGTGATCCTGCAGAGGGTGGGACTTGAAGGAATCCAGAGATTCTAACAGAAGTTAGGAGAATGAACATTTTGGGCATCGGAGATAGCCAATGCAGACACACAGGGACAAGAGGAAGGATATCAGGTTTGAGAAACAGCAAGTAGTCTAGTATATCTGTATAATAGAATGTGTGGGGCAAAGTGTGAGAAGACTAGAGAGGATAGGAAGGGATCAGGTTGTTAAGAAATTTAAATGCCAGACAGGGCTTAGTCTGTAATCATGGGAGTAATGAGGGAGCCACTGGACTTTGTTAATGGGAAGGGAAGAGGACAGAGAATGGTCAGAGCTGTGTGATTGGGAAATCATATTGGGAAATATGTGAACAATGGATTTGGAGTGGGTGGAAGAAGGCTGGGAGGCCAGTTAAAAGACTGTTGAAATAGTTGAGGTGACCAAGTGATAAGAGCCTGAACTAGGATGATAGCTTCTATGAGTAGAGAGAAAGGAATGTATATAAGAGATGTTGTTGAGGTAGAAACGACAAGATTTGGCAAGGGATTGGCTATATGGGGTGAATGTTAAGAGTCAAGGATAAGAGGAAAGTTATGATGATTCCACTCTCCATCTTCAGAGCTGCCTGGTTTTAACTCCACAGAATAAGAGTTTATCCTCCTAGGATAAACTGATCACTTCTAACCTCATCACCATGATGCTAACTCAAGTCTTGGACACCACTTCCCTCCATCTCCTTTCTCATCTGACTGAAGATCTGGAGGGTTCTCAAATTCCCACTATTGATCAGCATGGGACCTTGACCTGCTTCATTGCCAATCTGGATCAATTTGCCCTTTATAGGCAACCTGGGGGGGGGGTCCCCACCCCATTCTCATGGGCTCACAATATTAAGGCCAAACTTAGTTAAGACATCTGATCAGCTTAGCCCTCTTCGTCTCAGAACTCCTGGGCTCAGATAACCCAACAATCTCAGCTTCTTTGGTATCTGGGTGTACAGAGATGTGCCATCACCCCCAGCTACAATTTGTTTTAGAAATTTTTAGAAGGAAGTCCCCTCTGGCTTTGAGACACTATGGTTCTAAGATTTTGGAATCAGGAGGAACTCCTTACGGGGCTCAGTGAGGTATAAAAGAAATACGTGACATAGCTCATGTTTTAAATTTGCTTACAAGAAGTGGACAGAATATGCTGGACTCAGATTCAGGAAAGTCCTGGGTTCTTGCCTTTGACACTGATTAGCTTTGTGACTATGGACAAATCACTTAACCCTTCAGAGCTTCATTTTCTAATTCTCTAAAATGGGAACAATGACTCTTGTAGTACATTCATCACAGGACTATTGTAAAGATCAAATGAGAAAGTGTATTTACAAAAAAACCCAACAAGTTTGAAAAGCTTGAAAGTCCATATGTCAGCCATTTCTAAGAAGTACACATGTAATAAGTGGTGAAGAGAACCACATTACAACTTGATAGAATTAAATGGTTCTAATTAAATGGCTAAATGGTTCAGCTAAGACAATTGGAGAGTAGGGCAATGTATTATAAGGTGTTAACTGAACTGTTCAGACAATGTTAACAAAAAGACTTAAAGAGGCCATTGGGAAAGGATTCATGGAGGAGTTAGATCCTAAGCTAGAGCCTTGAAGGACAGGTAGGATGTGGACAAATGCAGATTGTGGAGGGCATTCTTGGTAAAGCCAAGAGTTGGGGAATGTGTGGGTTGTTTTATTTTTTTATCTTGAGCTAAAGGTCTCAGACAGAGAAATGTATCAGAGTGGTTCTTAAACTCACTTTAGCAATTTCGCATTAACAAAAAACATACACAAGTGCACCAGTTTTATGGGAAAAAAAACCCGAGTGCCTCATAATTTCAGAGTTTGAAATAAAAAGACGTTTATTTACATATTGAAAATATATGTGAACTTGAAATAATTCTTAGGGATTGTTTCCAAACAATTGAAAACACAATGCCAAATGATTTAGACCAAATTTGGTGCAATGAAATTTGTTTCATATCCTTGTTGCGGTAAATTTTGGAACAGAGGAAAGTTTGACAGCAAAATGACAATGTCCTAAAAATAGAATGCTGGTGTTTTCCTCAGGTTTTTCTGTGCTTTTCTCAGTCCCAGGTCATTGCTGGGTTTTAGTGGCAGGAGAAAGGCATTAGAGTCCCCTTCTCATCTGCCACCTTAACAACAGCTTTTTTTTTCACCTGAGTGTGGATTTCTCAGACCCTCTTTTTTCCCTATTTACAAAAAAAAAACCCTCCAAAACTAAACACTAAGACATTGTATCAGCTTCAAGATGCTTCCTGACTTGAATCCCTGTTAACTTTCTTCTCTACTCATTCTTAACATCCATCTGCACTGCAGGCAAAAACAAAATAAAAACACACTTGTGTATATATGTACAAATGTGTATACTACAGCACAAATCTATGTCCATATTCAAATGTACAAATTTGGTATTGAAAAATGTTATTGGAATAGCTATAATTGCAGCCCCAGTAGGGAAATGTAGGGGAAACGGCTTTGAATTTATTAGAGGAATCCCTCAGATAAAGCTTCTATCTTTCCAGCCAAGTTCTGAGCCTTTGGTTCCTATCAAATCTTTCCTCAGTCAGCTGTTGGACTCACAATTGAGTGATGTGCGGCACTCCCTCCCAATCAGGACTAAGTGTTCCCAGACCCATGCAGAAAATCCTGGGTTCTTTCTTGCAGAGCCGTATAGAGCTGAATTTTCAGCACAGTAACGGGCAACTGAAAAAAAGATTTCCAAGTTAAAATGCTAACCAATCAATATTGAAATGTATTTTAAAGACATTTTGATATGCCCTACAGTGTATATAACATAGAAGTAAATTTTATGGTGATACAGCCTTGGCTAGAAATTGATTTTTATTCCAGTATGGTCTGGGACTTTGAAAAATAGCCATATCTTTTCTGGGTTAAAACTTCATGCTTGGTATCAATCCAAGGATAATTTTTTGGGGGGTGATATGGGAAAAGCTGAACCTAATTGTTTCCGAAGGTTTTCTGTTAGTTAAGGATGAAAAATGGCTAATTCTCCTCTTCTTTAAAAACGAACTTTGACCTTCGGGGTGTTCACATAACTCAAAAAAAGTCTAAGCTATAAACTTAAGGCTTTGCAGCATTGGAGTTTTCACTGAGAAAGGAGAGTAAAGACACATTGAAGGAAGAGTTTAAGCATTTTAAGTCCTCCAAAGTCCTCCAAGAGTGTGGCTGATCATTCTTCCTGGTTCTTAGGTAGAGGTCTCCATTCGGGGCACCCAAGCCGGGTGTGCTCCGCGGAGCCCTCAGCAAGGCAGATTTACTCTCTCTGTTCCATTCTTTCCTGGAAAAAAGTTTAGAATTTTACTTGCATTCAACCACTAAAGATCATCATTCTTCTTTTAGTCTCTAATCGATTACCGATATGATGCGTTTCTTCATCCCTCTTTTCTTGTCCAGTTGATTCGAATCTAACACTCCCAACCAACAAAAGAGTTGTCCTATTTTTTTTTTTTTTTGCATAATTGAGAATCAGGTAACCCCTCTTTTGCTCTCGGCTAGTGTTCAGACGCTGAAGTGCGGTGATTTGGAGCTGGGCTTAATTCCTCTCTTTTCTTTCACAAGCCAATCTTGAGTTCCGTTCCTGGGATACTGGGATTCCCAATTCTACTCCCTTTAAACCAGGTCTGGACTGGGGCACGAACGGTCCAGAACACGTGAGTGTGTCTCAGTATAGAACATGTGCTGTGCCTCCCCACTGCTGCTGTATTTCTAATGTTTTCTCTGGCCTAGGTCCAACCCCCATCTCTAGTGTGTGTGTGTGTGTGTGTGTGTGTGTGTGTGTGTGTGTGTGTGTTCGCCCTGCCTCCTCTTTGCATCCCCCTCTTCCTTCTGTCTCTCACCCCACTCCTACCACGACCCTCGGCCACTGCACAGCGCCTTCCTATTTTATCAGTCCGTGGTTGGAGGTGGCCACTATTCACTCCCTCCCCCTGGTGCATCCCAGTTGAGCAGCTGGGTAGGGCTCACCGAGTATTTGCAGCCCAGGCAGCGCAGGGAGCACACGGATCGAGGGAGACTCTGGGGCTCTCAGTCTCGGTCTTCTCCGCCCCCTACCCCATCCCGCTTGGATTTGTTTTCAATGAGAGCCCTTGTGCCTGAGCAGCCGCTCCTGCCGCCAGAAACACCCGCAGCCTCGCAGCTTGCTCCTTTTCCATGCCTTATTTGACTTGGTTCTGACCCGATCTGAGGGCGACAGCACTCCGAGCCCCCACCCTCCCTCCCCAGTTTGCTTTCCGTCTGCACGAAGTTGTTTTCCCCCCTCTTTAATTTTTTTTTTTATTGTGAAGGAAGCGAGTTTGGAGGAGGTGGGGGTGGGAGTGTAGAGAAAGGGACATTCCCCGCTAAACATCACAAACGACACAATAAAGGCTGCTACTTCCTCAGGGTGACTTCTGAATTGCTCCTCGTAGCCACTATCCCCTGCTTTTAAACTGCCAATAGAAGACATTCTCCCCCCATCACTTCAGTCCTCCCCCTCCTCTTCCCCTTCCTCCTCCTCCCCCTCCTCCTCCACCTCTTCCTCCTCCTCCTCCTCTTCTCCTCCTCCTCCTTCTCCACCTCCTCCTCCTCCTCCTCCAGCACCATCACCCTGTCTTCTCCTCTCCTCTCCTCTCCTCTCTTCTTTTTGGCAGCACCAGGACGTCCGGTGCGAATGGTGGCAGCAACAGCCGCATCAGTACGAGCAGCAGTAGCAACAGATCTTGTCTAAACCTGCCCCCCCTTTCCCTCACGCCCCTATCCCCCACCTCCTCCTGAAAGGTGCTGGGAGGATTTTTTCGGAGCTGAGGAGGAGCGGCAGCGGCGGCAGAGGCGGCAAACAGCAGCAGCGGCAAACAGCAGCAGCAGCAGCAGGAGCGGCGACAAACAGCAGCAGCGGCGGCCGCGGCGGGAGCAGCAGCAGAAGTCAGAATGAGTGCACGAGGAGAAGGAGCCGGTCAGCCTTCCACTTCCACCCAGGGACAACCTGCCGCCCCAGCGCCTCAGAAGAGAGGACGAGGTCGACCCAGGAAGCAGCAACAAGTCAGTAGTAAGGGAGCGGGGGAGGGGGGTAATAAACCCAAACCCACCACCTCTGATCCAATGCTTATAAACCGCTTGTGCTGGACCCCGAAATCCAGACAGACTGAGAGCCGGGAAGATTGAAAGGTGACCAGCGCAGAGCCCGGGAGTTCCGCCCTCTGCTCAGTCCTGGAGGCTGGGGGAATCGAGCGGGCGCCGGGGTCTGGGAGGGGGTGTAAGGGACAGAATAGCCTTCTGGGTGACTGCTGGCTCCTCTGCGCATGGGAGAGGCGCGCGGAGGGCTCTGGGGGATGAGAAGAGGGAGAATCAAGAGGAGAAAGGGAACCTCCAGGGAGCAGAGCTGGGGCTGGGGGCGGGAGGAGGGAAACACTGGGGAGAGGGAATCAGGAAGGAGGTGAGAGGTATTTTTAGGAAAAGAGTCTCCCTTGAACTTTCGCTATTGTCCTGGCTTTGCTGCGTCTTGGGCTTCCCCATGTAAATCTGTAACCCGGAGCCGACCAACCAGCGCTCTTGGGCTCGTTTCGAGCTGATTTTGAAATTGCAAGAAGAGAAGGAGGTGGCAGTGGTGGTGGCGGAGAAAGGGATTGAGGGGCTTCCCGAGGCTGTCGCTCTCCCGGCTCAGTGCAAGCTGCTCTTGAGTCCCGGCGCTTGGAGAGAGAGGGAGGAAAAGTCCCCCTCTCTCCATCCCAAAGATCTGGAGCGGAGCTGGAAACGAAAAGCAGCCCTGTCGCACCTCCTCCTCCCTCCTGCCCCCGGCCCAAGTCACCTCTGGCTCCAACTCCCCACCCCCAGTGGCCCGATTCCATTCACCTCCCTCCTTACAAAGAATGCATAGGGACCAAACTGGCGCTGGAGTATCTGCAGCCTCCTCTCTGTTTCCAAGGACTCTTTAATCAGGCAGCCAGACTCACCAAATTCTAGAGGCCTGCAAGGGTTAAGGTGACCCCAGAAAGTTGCTACAGGGGAAGATCTCTCACATCCCAGCAAGGTCCTAGGACCAAGATTGGATAAAGTTGAAAAGGGCCTTTTTATAAACTTGAGAAGATTGAAAGTTATTAAGTTGATTCTTCTGTCTTCTCTTCCCCCTCTCCCCATTAGCCTCCCCCCCCACAGTCCCTAACCCACTTTGCGCAGAAATGCATAAATTAGACCTTGCTTTTCCAGAGTAAATCAGTGGGGGGTGGGGAAGGGGCGAGAGAGTGGTGACTGGGAATCTAAGCACAGTTGATGGGTTTTGTCTGCGGATGCAACCAATTAAGCGTGCAGCTTTGCTGGTCGTCGTGGAGAGGAGAGGGCTAGAGGTTTTGTTTGCTGTAATTTCCATGCTTTGCAAGTAACTATTCGAAGAGAAGATGCCCAAGGCATCCTAAGATCCCGAACTTTAAAATGCTTAACTTGGTAAATTCTCTGGAAACTCATTCGTATGGCAAATCGAATGAGGAGAAAATATTCTGCTCAAAGCAGCCCGAAGATTCTTTCTCAAGGTGGGAAAAGTAAACGGTTTTTGTCCTCGTTCTGTTCTACTTCCGAAGAGTGTAGAGAATACTCTTTGGAAATTGAAAAAGCAGAAGCAAAGATGGAAACCTCGAAGCCCTCTCCCCACCTCCATGTTCCCCTCCCCCCCCCCCCCCCCCCCGCCTCGGCCTAAGAGAACTTTAGGGGTCTGTTTTACACCTCTCAAGAAGTTTTCCTTTCTGTGCCCCCAAATCTCAATCTTATTTTTTCCCATATACCCACCCACACTATTTATTCTCCATTGTAATTTCCTAGGGGGAAAAAAAGTCCAAAAGTTGAGCGAGATCTGGGAATGTTGAGATTTTAACTTTGCGTTAAGCCAAGCTCTCAAACAAAAAAAAAGAAGAAAGAAAGAAAAGAAAAATATATGTCTCAAAATCTAGATGTGCCTGCAATCGCTCCAGTACTCTGCTGAATTTTGGAAGCATCCCTTCCTAGTTTCCCTAAATATACATATGCAAATTTAAAAGACTTTTAGTCCGATTGAATTTAACCTCGGGCTACCCTTAATCAGTCATGCCACCTAATCTGAATGAAATGTTCACTATTCAGAACCAGAAGGGTTTCCTAGACTTGATGATTCACTGGATAAATATTTATGATCTGTACTATTCAGAATTCATATACCATTAATGAATTGATTAGTTACTATAAACTAGGAACCTTTAAAAGAAAACTTTTTAAATGGGATAGGGTTGGGTTTTTGTTGTTGTTTTTTACCCCATGGTATCCCAGACCCCTTTCTGTCTCACAATCCCTACTCTTCAAACTATCTTCATAAGGAATTTCCTAGGAGGAAAGTTTCCTAAAGAAAATGTGTTGTTTGCTTTCTAACAAAAGACAGATTTTCAAAAGACTATGCCAATTATCCGAAGGAAATGAAGAATTGAAGTAACTATTCCGATATTTCAAACATCCACCTACCCCACCCCCACACAAACTGCCTTAATTATATGGACATTTTAGGAAAAAGGATTATTTTGACCTGAAAAATCTAGCTAATTACTCCAATCCTTCCCAATGAATGTGCCCGTTGGGTTGTAGGGAAAATAAGTTATAGCATGAAAAAAACTAATTTGTAGTCTTTAAGAAAAACCTGACTAGAAATTGCCTTTCAGTTTTCCAGAATGGAGTTATAATATGAATTACATGTTGCTGTTATATGATAAGTGTAAGTAAAATGGATAACTGATTATTCATGTTAAATGATTTCATTTTAAAGAGTTCCTAGTGCAGGATTGTGAGAAATCAACATCTTCAAACACTTAGGATGTGCCATCAAGTCATTCCTTTGTTAACTTTTAGAGTTGAAATGACGTCTTGTTTTCATATGCAAAGCAGAATTTCCTCTTTGAACACTTACGTTCGCGGTATAGTTATTTCCCCTTTCTGTAAACTCTGTATCATCCTTCATTTACACATGAACTGCATGTGGTCTAAAAGTTCAGTTGAGCAGTTCAGGCTGATAATAGAGTTGGAGGGAAATTTTCCTTTAGTCTTGCTTGCCACAATAGTATGTTTTTCTGTGTTTAGGAGCCAACAGGTGAGCCCTCTCCTAAAAGGCCCAGAGGAAGACCCAAAGGAAGCAAAAACAAGAGTCCCTCAAAAGCTGCCCAAAAGGTGAGATTTCCAGGGAAATATCTCCCAACAAGACTGTTTTTTTCAGCAGCAACAGTTTCCTTGTTATCTCAATCATTCAAGGTACAAACTTGAGGATTTGTTCCATTTGAGTAACCCAAGATACATTTTTCAGGTTTTACATTTGTAAGATATAAGATGGGAGTTAACCTTCCCCCCCCCCAGGAGAACGCTAAAGAAAAAAAAAATCTGAAGACAGTTTGGTTGTTTTGCGTATATCTCATCTATCAATCTATCAATCAACTATCTATCTATCTATGAAAAAGGGGGGAAAAAACCACAACAGTAGACACTATCAAAAGGGAGAAAAGATTTCAGTGTAATTATTGAGATCTATATTAATTAAGGTAGTTAAAAAACCAAATTAAACTTTTTGCCTAGTTCTGGAATTTAATTTTTTTTTCTTTGAAAGAAATGAAGATTCATTTCCTGTATCCTTATTTACAATACCACTTCAAACCAAATCCCTCTATTAAAGCTAAGTGCTTTGTCAAACATGTGGTAATTCAAAGTAAATCCAATTATGTGTTGATGGAAATAAGTACATTTCTTGAAATTTACAGCTTTAAAATGTGATGGTAATGTAAACTGATTATGAGTTACAACCACAGTGACTTATAATGGATATTGTTGGATAATCTATTCCAAAGAGCTTCCTTATTTTTGTTTTTGTGCTTTAAGTGATAATTGGGCCACTTTAACAAATGTTAACAAACACAATTTGTTGCAATTCAAAAGTCCATTTAATAATTTGTGATGCAGTACAGTGCAGAACCCAGTCAGGTCTAAGAATCAGGGTCTCTTAATAAACTCTAAATGACAAGTTCAAACAATGGTTTCTTCCCATTGGCTGAGTTCGATTTGCAAAGGTTATCCGTTAGAGTCCATGTTATTGCATTGCATGTTGGAGAATTTTTGGGGAACAGAATGAGTCGTGTGCAGCCTTGAAAATAAATACAGGAGTCAGGTTTCTGCAGCATGTAACACTAAAAGGTCAGGGCTAGTCTCCTAACTTAAAGGCATGAAAAGTGCTTGAAAATAAAAGCTTGATGTGTTTAGGAATAAATTATGATACTTAGTATAGATAGTTATCTGTCTCTAGTAGATCTCTGAAAAGTGAATGAGAGAGACAAAGAGATAGAAGGAGGGAGGGAGGGGGAGAGAGAGAAAGAGAAAGAGAAAAAGAGAGAGAGAGTGAGAGACAGAGAGAGAGAGAGAGAGAGAGAGAGAGAGAGAGAGAGAGAGAGAGAGAGAGAGAGAGAGAGAGTGAGAGAGTGTTGGAAAAGAACTAGAGGCTCATGTCAACGTGGTTAATTTTTCTGTGTGGTTTACTTTGTGCCTGTGGGCATTGACCATGTCATATGTGATAGTTTCAATGTTATACATTTCCATAGCAACTTGTGATAAATATTAAGTTATTGAGGGGGCGAATATGGTTTCATGTCTGTTTTATTTTTAACTGTTTTGAATAGTAGTTCATATTTATAGTATGTGTGTTTAAATTCACATTTGTTTCCCAGAATCTAGACAAGGAGTGAGCCATGTTTTAATCAATAGATCTGAAACTGACTGATGATGAAAGTTCTCGTATTTTATATTGAAAACTAAGAAAGAATAGGTTGATTATTTGAAAGAGTTAATTTTGTTAGTTACATTTTATTTGACATTGGATTAACGAAAATCAATTTAAAAAAATCTTTTTTAAACAAAAAAAGTACTCCAATTTTATAAACAATAACTTCAATGAAATGAGATGCTATACCTTGCTATATTTGTGACAAAGGATTACATTTTGAAGTAATTGTGTGTTTAAAAAAATCATTGTGAAGTTCTCCAGGAAGAAATCTTTAGTTTTCTTATATGAATAATTTTAAAGTTCACTGTAAGGAGGGGCAATTTTTATTCTAAATCTGCTGGAATCAAAGCAGAATAAAAAAAGGTCATTTCACCTTTTTGAATTGGAAATATTCATCTGATAACTAAGAAAACTCAAAGTCCTTTCTTTTAAGTAGAAAACCAAGAGGACTTTTTACAAAACACACTAACAAAACAGTACTGTCTGTGCTCCTGAGTTATATCTGACTTGCTTTTAGTTTCTTTCATGACAGGCCTTTTAAAATGGGCATACATCCTATGCTGTATTCACCAGTCTTTGGTCAGTCTACAGATGTCTCAAAGACTGGTTGAAATTTTCAGAATTGAAACGTTTCTAAATGCACTTTTTTGCCTATTTTCTAAATAAAGTGCCCCCTTCTCTCTTGCAATCTTACACTATCAATCCAAATTATATAGTTATTCCCCACAGTTCACCTATGAGAATTCTAGTCATAAAGGTGAATCAGAAAACTTGCCTACAGGTTGTCTTATTTTCCCTTGATCTCACAAGTTAAGTTTTCATTGGAGGAAATATTTCTTTGTAATTTGTAAAATAATGAATCACTCTGCTGAAATTTAAGGTTCTAAGTGGCTGTAAAAACAGCATTCGTTAATTTTTGTCAGATCCTTTACACAGGAACTTAGTTGCTAAACATATGGAGCCAAACTTTCTTGAAGAAGAGTTGTGTTTTTCCAAGTAAATCCATTGAAATGTACAGGAGAGTTCATACCATGTAAGGTATAGCTAGACCACTAGAATTCACAGAGCCTAGTAGAAGGCTCTCACAATTAGCTACTTGGGTTTGTTTGCTTGTTTGTCTGTGAACCACTGCACATCATCATGAAAAATATATCACAAAAATTGATACAAGACCTTAACAACCACACAAACTTTATAAATTATCATTATTACTATATTGTCAACAGTAAGTGCCCTTAAACTAGTGGGAAAAAAGCTTACTCTAGGACTCTGATTGTGTTGAGTGTTTAAAAAATCTGGGGGCACGATGTTTCTCTACTCGTGTTTGGTTGGACTTAGTAAACTGGCCTTGGGGCATTTGAAAACAAACTGTTCTTGTTAGGAAATTAGCAATGTGAAACTTGACAATGCATTCAGAATGTTGCAAGACCAATTGGACAACCCATAAAGTAGCAATTACTATAATTTCAGGTCAGGCACATATAAAAATTGACTTAAGCATAACAAATAAAACTTGTGCAGAAATAAACAAATGCAACTTATAATTTTGACTACTGGGGGGAGGGAGAGAAAAGAACAACTGATATCCTGTTTCAAAATGAAGGAAAAGAAAATGGCTACATGTGTCTAGAGTAGATGTGTGCCTGTTTACAGTAGGCTGATATCCTTCAAATGAGGCTTCAGAATTTTCTCCTGAGCAAATTTTGTGTTGGTACTGTTTCAAATTAATCAGATGAAAAATGACTGAGAGTGATTGTTTTCCTTTTTTAAACAAATAATAAATAACCAACAAAAATATTGTGCTTTTAACTTTTTATTTCGATTTTCACATTTTTTAGATTGAGGGAATTAGTTTTCATTAGTTTTCCCCCCAATTCCCTTATAACTCTTCTGTGCTTCTCATGTTTGTACTTTATAGAAATACTGACATAATGTTTCCCTGTTTAGAATGAAGAAGGCAATGTTCTTCAGAAGTTGGGGGGGGGTTGTTACTTTTTATCACAATAAAGAACATTAAATGGTCACTTGTAAATATTTAGCATATAAATGAATAATTTTTTTTAGATGAAAAGCTGATGGTCACTCCAGCACTTTTGAAAACCTTTCTCTAAGGTTGAATTAAATTTTATTTGGAAGGAAGTTAAATGTTTAGGAGGCCTCAAGGCGAGAGAAACCAATTGGACTTTGTTATTTTGGCCAGTTCTGTTCTTTGAAGTACAATGGAGAATGGAAGCCATGCTTGTCCAGGTAAAATGTATGCTTTTTCTCTTTTGTAGAGTGCTCAGCACAATGCCTGGCACGTAGTAGGTATTACATAACTGCTTATTCCTTTCCTTTCCCCCTTCCCCTTGAATTGTCTATACAATTGCCTGTGTGATGACTTCACTTTACTAGTGTAGACTAAACCCAAATATCCAGTATACACTGAAAAGTTAGACTTATGCTTTTTGTTACTACTCATTCCACATTAATTCTAGATCTTGAACTATAAACAGTATTTTATAGATTATTACTAAGCCTCAGGAGAGATTTTTTTTTCCCTTCCTAACTGGTCACTTCAGACAAATCTAAAAATCTATTTGATGACTACAATCAGGGGACATTTCGAAGGATAGAGAGGCAGGCAGCAAAGAGAAAAGCCAGAATCTTGTTTGTTAGCAAATTCAAGGAAGATGATTTGGAGCTTATAATAATTCTGTTCCTGCCCTAAATATAGGTACTATGCTATTAAGAGTTTTAGCTTTATTCTTTCAGAAAGTATAAGGCATATTAATCTTACAGGGGGGGCAGTGTGTACAGAGATCATTAAAGTCCCCAAAGGGAACTTTCCCCACTATTGTTTGCACATTTTGGCATGAATTATTGGCATAATTGCTTCATAATGACTCCTTTTTGGGAATGTAGGCACATCTTCAATGTACCATTAAGTCTAGTTGACATCATCTTTGCCCCACACCAGTTTCTATCTCTAAACTAGAGATTATGTTCAAACGAAGAAACAAATGCATTATCATTGTTTTAGAAAATAACTAGTTGGGGGAAACCCTGTTGTTCTATTTCTCTTCACTATAGTTGACAGCAGCCTCTTTTCTGAAAGCTCTCAATTACTCTGACTGACCTATACCACCGATAGATTTTTATCTTGAGGTCTCTGCAGATCATTTTGCGGAGGAGATAGGGTATACAAGATGGCGATTATGTTGCATTTGGGTTCTTACTTGATGAGAGATCAATGCCAAAGAGCATTTTATGTCAGTTAAATTATTCATACCTGTGGTCTTGTCTTTGTTAATTGACTTAATGCTGTTTCAGAGCCCTCTTGGAACTGCATGGGTGGTAATGGGCCATCCAAATTCCACTGGACTGTCTGCCTTTGCTTCCATGTTATCAGCCGTGGATCTCTTTC